ATAGTGGAAATCAGACCTGAAAAAAAAAAAAATTTCTGATCTCTGGTCTGGTCTGATTTCCACTATTGCTCAAATAGTGCTTTACTGCGAAGGATCGTTCTTATATACGTCTCATAACCGCAGTTATGAGAAATAACTCATTAAGGAAATAAATTTTTGGGAAACTTGTGTCTACCACGCTAACCGTTAGGGAACCGTACTTCTCACAGTTAATAAACGCTAAAATGTATGAAGTCTTGTGTTTCGTTCCTTAGATCTGGTAATTCTCGGCTGTAATGTGTCTCATGAATCTTTGTAAGAAGTGTTAACGGTTTTTGAAGGAATTCGTCCTAGCTTTCACTTATCATATGAACCTTTTGTTGGCAATCCCCCAGTTACCAACGTTGAAGAGTTTTTGAGGGAAAATCACTTCAAAGTATCTCTGTTGGTGATGGACGGTTCTACAGTGAGCGATAGTTTCAACAATCACAAAGCGATGGAGTATCAACAACTGGTAGGAAGTATAGCGGATAAAGTTGGTAAGTCTTCGAAGTGCAGTACCTCAGTTAATCTCATCTCACAGTAGCTTTGATCAAAATTTTTCAAACATATTGCTTTATTTTTTTTGCGTCAGTCTTTTGTGCTGAAATCGATTTGTCGTCAGACTAATTGCCTCCAATGGTTCATCTAATGTGCTGCTGTTAAAAATAGGTGTGGGAACATGAATTTAAAGTAGCTCTGAGCCCCTCCTAGATAACAGAACTTGAATCGGTTTTTCGCAACACGACTAATGTTAACCATGTGTTAGTTGTATTTAGACGTGAGGATGCTGTAGCATCTTTGTACGGGCTGGTAGAGCTAATAATGTTCGAACCACTCTGATTAAATTCTTCAGAGATCAGTGTGCTCAGTATTGAATGTTGACCCAAATTGTCCGAGAGAAGGAGTACAGTGGTCTTGACATTTTAACATGATAGAATGAAGCGGATTTTACTGTCTAAGCAAAAAATATCATCCTACCGATCGTCATGCGAACGTCAACCTTTTAATTTTTTTTTTTTTTTTTTTTACAGCTATAAGGGTCGTCATCTTGGTTTGCAATCGTAGCCCCTTAAATGTATCAAAAAAGGATGGGATGAAGCGTAATGAATTCATTGCAGGAATCAATAGGATAGAAAAGGTGTTTGTTGCAGAGGTGAGCGACGGAAAACTGGCTGTGGAGAAAGATGTTTTAGTCGAAAACCGATTCAAGTTCTGTTATCTCGGATGGGCTCAGAGCTACTTTAAATTCATGTTCCCACATCAAATACACAGATAATCCGTTCAAGTGGCTTTCAAAGACTGGATGTAAACACTGACTCATTAACCACACATTCAAATAACTCAAGAAGAGAGTCTCTAGAAAAGTATTCTTCAGAAAGGAAAAGCATTCATAGAAAGGTTGCTCAAAATACCCAGCAGCTGGTGCGGGCGTCACAGTTACCGATTAAACCGCCTCCTGTTGTTGCGCTAAGAGGTTTGGCTCGTTATGGAATGATTTGTGGTCA